AGAGAGGTAGAGAGAGAGGTAGAGAGAGAGGTAGAGATAGGTAGATAGAGAGGGAGAGGGAGAGAAATAGAGAGGGAGAGAGATAGAGAGGTAGAGAGAGAGAGAGAGAGAAGGAGAGAGAGATGAGAGAGCGAGAGAGAGAGAGAGAGAGAGAGAGAAGAGAGAGAGAGAGGAGAGAGAGAGAGAGAGAGAGAGAGAGAGAGAATGAGAGAGAGAGAGAGAGAGAAAGAGAGAGAGAGAGAGATGGAGAAAGAGAGAGAGGTAGGAAGGGAGGAGGTAGACGGAGAGGTAGGGAGATACAGAGAGATAAGGAGAGGTGGAGAAAAGGGCAGAGATAGAGAGGTGGAGACAGAGGTAGAGACAGAAATAGAGACAGCGAGGTAATGAGAGACGTTGATACTGAAAGAGTTAGAAAATGAGGGTGAAAGAGAAGTAGAGAGAAAGGTAGGGAGAGAGGTAGACAATGAGTCGGAGATAGAGCTAGATAGAGAGATAGGGAGAGAGGTAGGGGGAGAGGAGAGAGAGGGTAGAAAGAGAGGAGTAAGAGAGAGAGAGAGGTAGGGAGAGGAAGGTAGAGAGAGATTAGGGAGAGAGGTAGAAAGAGGTAGGGGAAGAGGGAGGGAAAGAGGTAGACAGACAGGTAGACAGAGAGAAGTAGGGATAGAGGTAGAGAGAGGTAGGAAAGAGGTAGAAAGAGAGGTTAGAGATAGGTATATAGAGAGGTAGAGGGAGAGAGAAGAGAGGGAGAGAGATAGAGAGGTAGAGGTAGAGAGAGAGAGAGAGAGAGAGAGAGAGAGAGAGAGAGAGAGAGAGAGAGAGAGAGAGAGAGAAGTGAGAAGAGGAGGATGAAAGAGAGAGAGAAAAGAGAGAGAGAGAGAGAGAGAGAGGGAGAAAGACAGAGAGAGAGGTAGGAAGGGAGAGAGGTATACGGAGAGGTAGGAGAGAGGTAGGGAGAGAGTTACAGAGAGATAAGAAGAGGTGGAGAAAAGGGCAGAGATAGAGAGGTGGAGACAGAGCTAGAGCCAGAAATAGAGACAGCGAGGTAGAGAGAGACGTTGATACTGAAAGAGTTAGAAAATGAGGGTGAAAGAGAAGTAGAGAGAAAGGTAGGGAGAGAGGGTAGACAATGAGTCAGAGATAGAGGTAGATAGAGAGATAGGGAGAGAGGTAGGGGGAAAGGTAGAGAGAGGGTAGAGAGAGAGGGAGGTAGAGAGAGAGAGAGGTAGGGAGAGGAAGGTAGAGAGAGATGTAGGGAGAGAGGTAGAAAGAGGTAGGGGAAGAGGGAGGGAAAGAGGTAGACAGACAGGTAGACAGAGAGAAGTAGGGATAGAGGTAGAGAGAGAGGTAGAAATAGGTAGACAGAGAGGTAGAGGGAGAGAGATAGAGAGGGAGAGAGATAGAGAGGTAGAGAGAGAAAGAGAGAGAGAAAGAGAGAGAGAGAGAAAGAGAGAGAGAGAGAGAGAGAGAGAGAGAGAGAGAGAGGAGAGAGAGAGAGGGAGAAATAGAGAGAGAGGTAGGGAGGGAGAGAGGTAGACGGAGAGGTAGGGAGAGAGGTAGGGAGAGAGTTACAGAAAGATAAGGAGAGGTGGAGAAAAGGGCAGAGATAGAGAGGTGGAGACAGAGCTAGAGACAGAAAAAGAAGACACCGAGGTAGAGAGAGACGTTGAAACTGAAAGAGTTAGAAAATGAGGGTGAAAGAGAAGTAGAGAGAAAGGTAGGGAGAGAGGTAGACAATGAGTCAGAGATAGAGGTAGATAGAGAGATAGGGAGAGAGGTAGGGGGAAAGGTAGAGAGAGGGGTAGAGAGAGAGGGAGGTAGAGAGAGAGAGAGGTAGGGAGAGGAAGGTATAGAGAGATGTGGGAGAGAGGTAGAAAGAGGTAGGGGAAGAGGGAGGGAAAGAGGTAGACAGACAGGTAGACAGAGAGAAGTAGGGATAGAGGTAGAGAGAGGTAGAAATAGGTAGATAGAGAGGTATAGGGAGAGAGATAGAGAGGGAGAGAGATAGAGAGGTAGAGGGAGAAGAGAGAGAGAGAGAAAGAGAGAGAGAGAAAGAGAGAGAGGAGAGAGAGAGAGAGAGAGAGAGGGAGATATAGAGAGAGAGGTAGGGAGGGAGAGAGGTAGACGGAGAGGTAGGGAGAGAGGTAGGGAGAGAGTTACAGAGAGATAAGGAGAGGTGGAGAAAAGGGCAGAGATAGAGAGGTGGAGACAGGAGCTAGAGACAGAAAAAGAAGACACCGAGGTAGAGAGAGACGTTGATACTGAAAGAGTTAGGAAAATGAGGGTGAAGAGAAGTAGAGAGAAAGGTAGGGAGAGAGGTAGACAGTGAGTCAGAGATAGAGGTAGATAGAGAGATAGGGAGAGAGGTAGGGGGAGAGTAGAGGAGAGGGTAGAGAGAGGGAGGTAGAGAGAAAGAGGTAGGGAGAGGAAGGTAGAGAGAGATGTAGGGAGAGAGGTAGAAAGAGGTAGGGGAAGAGGGAGGGAAAGAGGTAGACAGACAGGTAGACAGAGAGAAGTAGGGATAGAGGTAGAGAGAGAGGTAGAAATAGGTAGATAAAGAGGTAGGGGAGAGAGATTAGAGAGGAGAGAGATAGGGAAGTAAGAGAGAGAGAAAGAGAGAGAGCGAGAGAGAGAGAGAGAGAGAGAGAGTGAGAGAGAGAGAGAGAGAGAGAAGAGAGAGAGTGAGAGAGAGAAGAGGAGAGAGAGGGAGAGAGAGAGAGAGTGAGGTAGAGAGGTGAGGAGAGGAGGGGAGGAGGTAGGGAGAGAGTTACAGAGAGATAAGGCGAGGTGGAGAAAAGGGCAGAGATAGAGAGATGGAGACAGAGCTAGAGACAGAAATAGAGACAGCGAGGTAGAGAGAGACGTTGATACTGAAAGAGTTAGAAAATGAGGGTGAAAGAGAAGTAGAGAGAAAGGTAGGGAGAGAGGTAGAACATGAGTCAGAGATAGAGGTAGATAGAGAGATAGGGGAGAGAGGTAGGGGGAAAGGTAAAGAGAGGGGTAGAGAGAGAGGGAGGTAGAGAGAGAGAGGTAGGGAGAGGAAGGTATAGAGAGATGTAGGGAGAGAGGTAGAAAGAGGTAGGGGAAGAGGGAGGGAAAGAGGTAGACAGACAGGTAGACAGAGAGAAGTAGGGATAGAGGTAGAGAGAGAGGTAGAAATAGGTAGATAGAGAGGTAGAGGGAGAGAGATAGAGAGGGAGAGAGATAGAGAGTAGAGAGAGAGAGAGAGAGAGAGAGAGAGAGAGAGAGAGAGAGAGAGAGAGAGAGAGAGAGAGAGAGAGAGAGAGAGAGAGAGAGAGAGAGAGAGAGAGAGAGAGAGAGAGAGGAAAGAGAGAGAGAGAGAGGAGAGAGAGAGAGAAAGAGAGAGAGGCAGAAAGAGAGAGAGAGGTAGGGAGGGAGAGAGGTAGACGGAGAGGTAGGGAGAGAGGTAGGGAGAGAGTTACAGAGAGATAAGGAGAGGTGGAGAAAAGGGCAGAGATAGAGAGGTGGAGACAGAGCTAGAGACAGAAATAGAGACAGCGAGGTAGAGAGAGACGTTCATACTGAAAGAGTTAGAAAATGAGGGTGAAAGAGAAGAGAGAAAGGTAGGGAGAGAGGTAGACAATGAGTCAGAGATAGAGGTAGATAGAGAGATAACGAGAGAGGTAGGGGAGAGGTAGAGAGAGGGGTAGAGAGAGAGGGAGGTAGAGAGAGAGAGGTAGGGAGAGGAAGGTAAATAGAGATGTAGGGAGAGAGGTAGAAAGAGGTAGGGGAAGAGGGAGGGAAAGAGGTAGACAGACAGGTAGACAGAGAGAAGTAGGGAGAGAGGTGAGGTAGGGAGAGAGGTAGAGAGAGAGGTAGAGATAGGTATATAGAGAGGTAGAGGGAGAGAGATAGAGAGGGAGAGAGATAGAGAGGTAGAGAGAGAGGGAGAGAGAGAGAGAGAGAGAGAGAGGGAGAAAGAGAGAGAGAGAGAGGTAGGGAGGGAGAGAGGTATACGGAGAGGTAGGGAGAGAGGTAGGGAGAGAGTTACAGAGAGATAAGGAGAGGTGGAGAAAAGGGCAGAGATAGAGTGGTGGAGACAGAGGTAGAGACAGAAGTAGAGACAGCGAGGTAGAGAGAGACGTTGATACTGAAAGAGTTAGAAAATGAGGGTGAAAGAGAAGTAGAGAGAAAGGTAGGGAGAGAGGTAGAGAGGGAGGTAGCGAGAGAGGTAGAGAGAGAGGAAGAAAGGTAGAGAGAAAGATAGAGAGAAAGGGAGACAGAGGGAGAGAGAGAGGTACAGAGATAGGTACTTAGAGAAGTAGAGAAGAGAGTTAGAATGAAAGGTAGAGACAGAGGTAGGGAGCGAAATGGAGATAGACAGATAGATAGAGAGAGAGAGTGAGAGAAAGAGAGAAAGAGGTAGATAGATAGATAGAGAGAGAGAGAGAGCGACAGACAGACAGAGACAGAGAGAAGACAGAGACCGTGGCAGACAACACAGGCAAGCAACACAGGCAGACGACATAGGCAGGCGACACTCCAGGACACAGTTTAAGGTCATGTCCGGGACCATGAGGACTTGGAAAAACATTACAACCTGATTGCAGCATGCACATTGTTCTAAACATTTTGAATTAATTTACATGCCCCATCTGGCACCCGCTCTTGACAGAGCCACCCAGTTACACCTTTCTTGTCTTTAAGAAGCTGCTCGATAATCGCTAAGTTAACCTAAGCTGCTTGGTAATCGTTAAGTTAACCTAAGCTGCTTGATAATCGCTAAGTTAACCTAAGCTGCTTGATAATCGCTAAGTTACCCTACCCTTTTCCTACCTTTTCTTCACTAGCAGACTTTAAGAAAGAACTAACATTTCAATTATACAGAAGAATAGAGGACCAAAGAAGTACAAGTTACGTTTTAATGTCTAATAACACCACTAGTTACCAAACAAGCAGCTCATGCTAAAACATTGCACGACACTGACCAACGGTACTGACGCTCTACCCCTAGCTGGCAATCAGCTCTATCACGTCTTTTATCTCCACTCCAACCGATTGCCTATGATTTATTGAGTGATTGAGCTGATTGCCAGTTAGAGGTAGAACGTCAGTACCGTTGGTCAGTGTCGTGCACTGCTACCGCATGAGCTGATTGCAAAGACAGCTGCTATTCTGTACTCCTTCTTCCAGTGTCCAAGAACGTCCGGATCCCCCTTCACATACATGTACATGTACAGATAGAAGAGCGATCAGTTGCTGTTTTGCAACTCTGAGTTTCACGAACTGAACGGATCATCAGACGAAAATTGAATCTATAATAATAGGTAGCGGCACTTGTCTGCCGCCATCTTGGAATACTTAAAATCTCCCATTGAACAACTCGCAAGGCCAGTTTCTCCTTCTGCTACCGCCTCAACGTTCTACTGTGTCCTTTCTTAAAGAATGGCGTTGAAACTTGAATGTAAGCAGCGTGTACGCTACATAAAATTGTTACATAGACACTAATATCTTCTGTTCGTTATCCAAGTCAAAGACATACAGAGAGCATAGCTAACAGTTCACAATGCAAGCAATGTAGTTCTGATGCCAGGGAAATATTTCCACTTACAGTGTAGTATAACCCCAGCTAGCTGCTGCATGTATTGCCACTGACGGCACTCTCTTTGTTGCCCTCTAGGC